TTCATAAACGGACTAGATTTCCCTACTCTTTATAGCGGAATTCTGTATATAATATATTATTCTATATAATAATCTAGTAATTACTAATAAAAGTACTAATAAGATATAACCTAGTTAGACCGGGGGACCTAGGCCGAGCTACGTAACGATAGGGGAACTTAGAGATAGTAGAACTATAAATAGCTTAGTAGATAACTAATAGAAAGATAATCTATAGACTCCTAGAGATAAGTAATAGATACTAAGCCCGCTATTATAATTAAGGAAGAATTTAGAAAGAATATAAGGTAAGAGACTTAGTTCTCCTCTCTACGAGAACGATTAAATAGTAGAGACTTAGTAAAAAGCTATCCGATAAATACCTAGGACTATTTAGAGTTATTAAGAAGATAAATAGCTATAGTCTAGTATATAAGCTATAGTTACCCCTTAGCTATAAAGTATATAACGTATTCTATATATTATACTTAGAAAATTAGAAAGGTAGAGAAAACTAACTATTACCTTAGCTATAGGTTAATAAAGTACTACTAGCTATAAGAATAGAAGACGTATATATAGTCGAGAGAATAGTTAGCTATAGGGGACTATTACGTAATCGGTAGTACCTTATTAAATAAAAGGGATACCTAAAAAGCGAGAATTCGTAAGAATTATAGCGAAACGTAATAAACGACCTCGTCGAGATATATAAATAATTATAAAAAAGAGTAATAGCGGATTAATAGTAACTTAATTAATATTTAGGAGGTACTTTAGCCCTTAGCCCTACTCTTAAAAGAGAATAATAAAAAAAGAAAAAGTAAAAAGAAGAGTAATAGGGGAGTACTAATAGACTATTAGTAATTCTTAAACTATTACCTCGTTATTACTTTCCTAATTCTCGCTATCCTCTTTATTATTAATTACGCTAATAAGAGTATTATAATTTTAGTAGATTATTAATAAATAAATAGTAACTAATTAATAAACGATTTACGATTAAGGTATAATTCTCCCGGATCTTAGACTAAATAGTAACTAACTTAGTAAAGGAACCGGTAATCTATTATAAAGTAGTAGCGGAGACCTCGGTAGTAGTAGTAGAGCGCTTAATAGCCTAAGCGAGACGATTAATAGTAGCGAGGTAGCGAGTAGAGTACTCGCTAGCCTCTTACTAATTAATAGTAGTACGTTTCTTAGTATTTAGCGCTTTATCGTTTTTACCCTTTTAGAGGGCCTTCTAGCTAATAGTCTTAGCTATATTAAAATTAATTAAAAGAAATCTATTAATACTTAAATAATAAATATCTAATAAGTAGATACTACTTACTTTAAAAATATTAATATAGCTATTCTTAGTTATAGCCTTAGTAGCTAACTTAAAGGCGTATATAGTAGCCTAGTACTTAATAGGTACTTATAGGGAATTAGCTACTAAATAATAAGGGAATAAAAGGGGGGTAACTTATAATAAGATATAGCTTATTACCCTAAGCTACTCTATAATAAGAGTATTTAACGGAACTAATTACGTAAACGATTAGCTAATAATTAATTATTAGGTAATAGTTAACCTATTAATATCCTCTTTATAGTAAAGGTACTCCCCGCTTATAGCGGGATTAAACTATTTATATATATAGTTATAGTAATAGAGGTATAGTAGGTCTCTAGCGGAGTATACCTATCTAGGCTCTTAGTAAGGGTTAAGAGGAAGAGGAGCTATTACTCTATAGCTAATTAACTATTAAATTATAGGGGAAATAATTAAAAGTAATTTATAAATAGGAAATTATTTAAATAATAGTATTATTACTTTTAATTAATAAGTAATTAATAAGTAAATATTAATAGATTTATAAATTATTCTTATCGAAAAATTAAAAAAGCTAAAATCGATTTAAGAATTATACTTAATTAGTAATTATATAATAGCTAATTATTAAAGGATTATTATAGAAGATATAAAGATAATATTAAGGAGGGGAGGATATTATCATCGTTATTATTATTATTAGAGAAGAAGAAAAGATAGAAATAATAATTAGAAAATCCTCTTATAAATATATTAGAAACTTATAATAGGCTACTTTAGAATAATAGCTATTTACTAAATCTTAATAATAAAAAAGGAAAGAACGAAGAATATTAGAATAGTAAGACTATATTAGTAAACTATTATCTGCTAATTAATTATAGAAGAAGCTTATTAGATTTCTATTTAAGAATAGAATAATATAAGAATAATTAAATAGAACCGAGATAAAGAGGGAGAATAGAAGAATAATAGAATAGTAAGATTATATTAATATATTATTACTTATTAATTAGCTATAAAAGAAGCTTATTAGATTACTAAATAAGAATAATAGAAGAACGAGAAGTAGAACTAAGACGAGAAGAAAGATATATAGAAGTATTAAACTATAGTTATTAAATAATAAAGAATTAACCTAGAAACCCTAGCTAATTAATAAGAAGTACTTATTAAGATAGATACTTAAGAACTAGATAGAAACCTAGAATATATAGACATCGTTAGACTTAATAATACTAAATAGCTTAAGAGAGAGTTACTTAGAGCTTAATAGGGACCTTTAACCTAAATATTATATTATACTTCAGGACGAAGTAAAGAGAGAGACGGGGCGTTATATTAGGACCTAAAGGAGGTATAAGACCGATAGAGGATAGCCTATTATTTAATCGTAGGAACTAAGGAGAGAGGACTAAGCGTAATAAAGGAATAGTTATAAGAAAGGTTAATAGACTAAGATTTATAGAGGGCATCGATTATTCTATCTCCCTAGAGACCCCCTAAGAGACTAATAGCTGATCCCTTCACTCGTTGCACAAGACTCCTTTAATACACACCTAAAGTGAAGATGTCCGCCCAATTCGACCTCCCAACGTCCTTCGCCAGCTGCTCCATCGGCCTCCCGCACCATACCCTCGAGCAAAAGCTAGCTGCCATCTCCTCCGCCGGTTTCACCGGCATTGAGCTCGCCTTCCCAGACCTCCAGACCTTCGCCGCGCGGCACGCCCACCGCAACATTGCCGCAGACGATTACCCCGCCCTCTGCAAAGCCGCCACCGCCATCCGCTCCCTATGCCACGCGTCCAATCTCGCCATCATCGTGCTCCAGCCCTTCTCCAACTTTGAAGGGTGGCTCGAGGGGAGCCCGCAGCGCAAAGAGGCCTTCAGCCGCGCTAGGGGATGGATCGACATCATGGACGCCCTCGGCACGGATATGCTGCAAGTCGGCGCGTCCGATTCGCCCGGCATATCGGCCTCCGTGGCGGAGTTGGCGGCCGACATAGCGGCGCTGGCGGATCTGCTGGCCGAGAGGGGTTTCCGCCTCGCGTACGAGAATTGGTGCTGGGCCACGCGGGCGCCGCTGTGGCGGGATGCGTGGGAGGTTGTGCGAGCCGCGGACCGGCCCGAACGTTGGGCTCTGTCTTGACACGTTCCAATCTGCCGGTGGGAGTGGGGTGATCCGACGACCTCATCTGGACTCATAGAAGATCAGGGAGTTGGCCCGGACGAGCTGCGAGAGAGATACAGGGCGAGTTGGGCGGAACTGGCGAAGACAGTGCCTCCGGAGAAGGTGTTTTTCTTGCAGATCAGCGATGCCTATCTCATGGGTCCGCCGCTGAAGGATAGCAGTGACGAGTCTGGGACGAGACCTAGGGGGCGCTGGAGTCATGATTATCGGCCGTTGCCGTATGATGGGGGATACTTGCCGATTGTGGAGTTCTTGGAGGCTGTTTTGATGACGGGGTTCCGCGGGTGGTTGAGTGTCGAGGTGTTTGATGGTAGGTTTGAAGCGAAACACGGGGATGACCTTGGTGGATATGCGAACAAAGCAAAGGAAGCTGTCGACAGGATGTTGGATGAGATGGATCCGGAGAAGGTCACGGGCGAGCTTGTCTGACGAGTTCAGTGCAGAGACAACAAGCGGCTTTTTCAGCCTTTAAATAATAAATTCCTTGCACATATTTCGTCTGTCTACCTAGTCCGTGCCTCAAACATCAGGTACACATCCCCATAACTTTCACGCATCTCCAGACTTCGGCAGAGTGCCTTATCCATGCTTAGCTGGACGCGCTGGTAGGCAGGCAGGAGCAAGCCGACGAGACCCGCGAGATGATGTTAGTCGGGCAGGCCTTGACTGCATATTCCGGAACGACAGCCACATCAGCGACGAACGTCTTGGTAAATTCTCCACAGAATTCCCGGCTCTCCTCGAGGCGGCCCTCGATGTTGCTGGAGCGCAGAGCACGAAGACAGTTATCAGCATTACAGCTCTTCGGCTTGCAGGCCTCCCGCTTGGTCATCTTGGCGAGGAAGCCGCCACGCTCGATGGTGTTGATGAAAATGTAGCCAGAGTCAAACAGAGCGTAGGAGGCCCACGAACCGACAAACTCGAGGCTACCGCCGCCAGGGAGAGCGTCATCTTCGGGGTAAATATCGAGGCACGCAATCTCACAGACGCTGTTACCCGAAGGGTCTTCAGGTACAGAAGAGACGTCGTAGATGCGGACGCCAGCACCATAGTTTGATTGATACACCAGCCCGTCCTTGACATACTGGTTGTGGTCGATGCTCTTCACGTTACCCTTGTATAGGCCAGTGTTCTTGGGATTCTCGAGGGAACGAATGTCCCAGATATACGTGACAGGATATCCGTCACGAGCCGGGCCGATGACGTCGTACTCATCGTACCTATGGAAGTTAGGGCGGAAGAATTGGGATTAGGCGGAACACGTACTCATCATCCATAAAGAGCCACTCCTGGTTCTTGGGGTCGAGGAGCCAGCCTTGGTGGGTATAGGTCGCGCCCTCATAAGAGGTGATGGAGATGATAGTTGAGTTGGACTTGTCCGTGACATCGAAACTACGTAAGGTTAGCCATGACTCTTCTGTACAACAAAGGGGAAAGTTGACCCACATTGTCAGAGTGTCCTCGTTGTAGCCATAGCAGATATCGCGTCCCTCGTACTTCTTGTCAGGGCCGTGGTAGACAAGACATTGAGCCTAAAAGGTGTCAGCAAGGGCATCATTTCTCTGACGTCGGTGAGGTGGACTATTATAGCCACATCAATCACTTACATCATGCGTGTATCCATCTTGGGGGTCACAACCAATTTTGACGGGGTTGGTGGGGTCAGACAAGTCGAAGAAGATCAAGCCACCGAAGCAGCCGCCATTCCTCGGACGAGCTCCGACGGCGACACCATATTCAAGTTCTTCGTTCACAACCACGTTGTGGGTAGCGCCCAGGGGCAGGTCGGCGAAATGGCCGGTCAGGTCCTTCTCGTTCGTAAATTCGACGGGAGCATTGGCAGCAGTAATGTCGAGAAGTTTGGTCATGTCAAAGATCTGGATACCGTGGCCCTCGAGCTCGCTTCCAATGAGAACGTAGTTCTTGAAGGTTCGAACTTCCTTCCACCACGCGTCATCATTTGTCGGAGCGAATGCAGGCCTGCCCTGGAGTCAGCTGGGGTTGAGTGGCGAGCGGTGGGAAGCTTACAGAAAGCCGAGCTTCAAAAGCTTGCCTTCTGGGAGGATTTCGATGAAGGACGTGCCATCAAACATGCCGTTGGCTGTTGGGGGTCAGCAATCTATATTCTCACACAGTCTACCTTTCCTTGACCCACCAATGAACTCTCGTCCCGACTCTGGATCTGTCCAGCCCCAAGTAGAGCTACCAGTGCGACCTTGCGAGTCCGATGACGGCGAACCCAGCTCTGCATGGTTGATAAAGTCATATAGATCCATGTTCTTGCACCGAAAGGTATGGTGGGGGTCCCCAGGGATGGCCGCGACCTTTCCGTCTACACACTTGGTGTAGTTGAGCCGGGGCCATTGCGACGAGTCGATCATACCAGAGTCGATCTCGGACTTCCAGAAGGCCTTCTTCTTCCCCATGATCGTCTCGTGCATCTTGCCGCTATCATATAGCTCTGAAGACATATCAGCATCAGCCATAGTATGCAGGCATCATGACCTTTTATGGTGAGATCATGAGGATAACTGACCAGCTGCGCGCGCCTCGTCCTTGGGCATCTCCTTCGCAAAAGAGACAGAGGCAGCGGCCAGGGCCGCGCCTGTCAGAGTACCAAAGCGCATTTCGAGAGAGGGCTGCGATGACAACCAAAAGGCTAGATGGCAAAGTAAGAATCTGTACAGATAAGGCGAGGTCAAGCTACGGTTCGGGGACAACGACGGGAATGGTCTATTTATTCCTTCCCCAGCTCCGGATCTCGCATCCGAAGGCCAAGAGCTTCCATGCTGGAGAGAGCCCCAGCTAACAATGGCTTTGTGTATATTCAGAGCTGTCCGTCGAGCGAATCCTTGATCATTGCATTTCAATGTAGATCGAACACCAAGTTAGGAAGGCAGTTACATCCTTGGCATCAGGTACCCTGGGGCCCAGCGAATAGCCATGCGATAAGAGGACCTTACGATGTCGAGTAGTGCCCGCAACCCCGCAGGCGAGAGCGAGTCTATATTTTATCCATAAAGATTCCAACGAATGACCAATCGGTCTGTGATGAAATCGGAAGGAGAAGTTGTGTAGGAGGAGAAATGGGACTTTGGTAATCCTTTGGCGCCAAGACCTTTAGCAGATACATGCCACAATAGGCGACCAATAAGCCAATACGCAGCTTGCCGCAGCTAACGAACACTCTGTAGCTGTCGAAGTCCTCAGGGCTTCACCACGTGCCACGTTGATGTTATCGGGAGCTAACGGACTGCAACTTGCATATAAGGCTTCCTGCAATAAACTTTTAAGAGAGTTCAAGTTGCCGAGTTGTACTCACGTAGTGGAAATCATGAGTATGTGACAATTTTGCGACAGGCTGGCCCCTTGAACCAGTCACAGGGTCTCGTTTTCCAAGAGTAGGCAGTGAAGTCTCAAGTCTCAAATGACTCTCAAAGCCTGAGGAGTTCAGTGAGCAGCTCATCTCCTGAATTATTCGCCTGTTCGATTCTTCTCGCGTGGGTAATTATTGTCGCAGGATGGTTTGCAAATAACTTGGGTGGAACGGTGGTGTCGAAGAGAAAAAGCGGAGAACAGCGTCGTGATCAATGCCAGGCGGGTAGCAAAATAGCGCGCTGGACCAACGGCTATTGATAAACTAAGCTTCAAAACCAAGCATTAGCTAATTCTTCTCTCTTCGGCGGAACTGTCATTGTTCAAGTCTGTCTACGGCATTTGGTTTAGTACAATCATTGTTCTGTCACTTGACGGTGTGTTGTCGTCACTCCGGAAAACGCTCCGGTGGCGAAGCCGCCCCACGTCATTCATGGTCAGAGCAGACAAACGACAACAGCCACGTAAATGAACTGGCGCATTTGCTCCGGTGTTTGACTGAGGGCACGATGAATTCACACGGCCATGAGAAATGTTTAGCAATGGTGGAAGACAGTGCTTCTACCGTGCGAGAAACATCATGAGAGATTCGCTAGGAGCATTGAGGACACCCTTGAATCCTTAAACTCTCCGCGCAAGTTCAGTGATTCGCCCTGGGTATCACGATGACGTTGGCTAACATCATTATAAGGCTTCACAGCACGCTCGTGATCTCGGTCGTGGCGAGGCCGTTGAGAGCATATATGACGGCCCAGTCACTCGTGGACACCAACACTCGGAAAGGTTCGTTACGATACATAGTGCTCGTGATAACACATCTCCATATATCGCACTGGTCAAGACACACAACAGATAAATAGTTTCCAACAACAAAACAGCCCTCAATATGAGCATCACCGACGAAGTCGCGCAGGAGACTCAGGATCTCTTCGGCAATGTCGAGCAGGCACCCAAGGTATGGCCTCCCGCCTGCCTCGTATCGACAGTTATCATGCGCTGACATGTAATCACAGATGGGTACCACTCTCAAGTCCAGCAACCTCTCCGGGGACAACAACGCCAAGGAGTCGAGCACCAAGGTAGCCGACAGCGACGACACTTTCGCAGAGAAGCTCAGCAGCTCCGCTGCACACAACACCCAGCAGAACACGTCGAGCACCGACAACACCAAGACGAGCAGCTTCGACTCAGAGGCGAGCCACAAGGCGCAGGAGGGCGGAAAGTCCCTCGCTGACCAGGTCAACAGCGCAGCGACCAAGGCCTCCGACCAGGTAAACACATCAAACAAGAAGAGCGACAGCTCCAGTGGCGGCATACTCTCGGACGTAGCCAGTAAGGCGCAGGCAGCAGGACAGTCGGCCGCCGACCAGGCCAGCAGCACCGCTTCGCAAGCATCAAAACAGATTCAGGACTCGACTACAAAGAGTGCGTCTGATAAAGGTGTTCTCTCAGAGACATCGAAGAAAGCCCAGGAGACCGGACAGGCGGCCATGGACACTGCGAACAATGTTGTCTCCAGTGCGTCGGAGAAAGCCAGCGAGGGAGACGGTTCGAATGACGCAGGTGTCATCGCGAATGCCGCTAGCAACTTGCAGGCCGGCGGACAAGCGGTCGTCGACAAGGTGAAGGAGACCCTCGGTGTATCTACCGAGGGCAGCACGGGCACCAACCAAAACGAGAAATCGGTGACGGAGCAGGTGAAGGAAGCCTTAAATGTTGGGAACAACAAGGCGAACAACAACCGGTCTTAGAAGAGAATCTCTAGATTCTTGTGAGATGACGCAAGTAGTGATAACGAAGCAAAGCCTATAATACCACAGATCCTTCTGAGCTACATGCCAAAAACCTCAGATGTCGAGTCAGTTGAATTTGTGCAATCTTGTTGTTCACGCTGGTAGCCCCAGCGGATGGGATACAGCATGGAATTGACTGAGCAGGTGACAGTCGATCTTGGAATATGAATACGACCAAGAACAGCCTGAGCTGCTGCAAGTGCCGAGGATCTACCAGTATTGTCTTGTCTCTCATTTCATGTGATTCCAGTTTGCAACCTTAGATCATCTCGCCAGCAATCGAGGCACGATGTGCCGCCGACAAGGTTGCATCTTGGCCAGTTCAGGAAGTTCCCCCGGCCCTGAACGCACAGCTACGATGTACCTTTGCCGATTCCAGAGAGCAACATAACCAACGCAGAACTTGGACAAGCTTGGCCTCGAAGCACCTAGCCGCAGCCCTGTGGCACCGCAGCCAGGTTCGGAAGCCCACGATCAGCCCAGCGATGCCCAACCCTGGCCATCTCTCCCTTCCCCCACCGCACCCACACCCCGCCACCGCAAGGCCATGCCCCATTCCGGCCGCTTGCCGCGATCCTCGAGGTCGGTGAGGAGGGCTGGAGGTTGCAGTGAGACGGCGCAAGACCGTGCCTGACAGGGGTTCCCCGCAACTCGCGAGGCCAACGGCGTCCGCCCCGACCCTTGTCCACCCACACCACCATGATCTCTTTGGGCTACCCTATTCCTGTTCCTGGCCTGACGCAGCCTTCATTTGCCCCGGCCGAGGCACATGCGCCGACTTTTGCGAGGGGGTGGATGTCTGGGGGATTTGCACATGATTTCCGCAACCTCCGATCCATTTCATCTGCTTCCACTCTTGTAGTGTTATGCCTTCCATGCAGCCAACCCTCCTCCCTCTCCCCCCTTTTCTTGTGAGGAAGCTTGCACAGGATCGGAATAAGATTGCGCGATGAGTCGAGAGGGTGTTGTCAGACCTTGAGGCTGTCTTCATGCCGCGCAGCTTGTAAGATTAGATCTCTGCGACGCACCAATCTGACCCCTGGCGCGGCTTCATGCTTTCGTCCCTCAGTCAGAGAAAGAAGCACAGCTTTCCTCAACCCCCAGCCCCTGGTCAGGTTCTGGAGCGGCATCATATGCCGACAAGGCGTTGATCCCTCAGTCCAGCTGCCCAGTCAGGCTGCAGTGCCGCCACACCAGAGCACATGCTTGGATACAGGCAACGACCCGAAAAGAACTCCTTCGACCCTGGAGAAGGGGCGTCATTGTCGGGCCCAGATCCTCAGGGATCACCTCCATCTTGATTTCCCCCTCCTTTACAGCTCGTATAGTGACACTGCAGCGTGACAATGTGACAGTGAAGCTCTCGCGGCTGCTTTGCCGACCAATAGTCCAATAGTTTTGGTCGTGACATCCCGGCCCGGCGTTAGCGAGGCGGCGCTGGTCACCAACGATGTCATGGCGGATCATATGAAAGATTCAGGAAGTCATCGCCGAGGTTCATTCTGCGGAAGTGTGAAGGGGAAGGTTCATGTATAACTGCAAAGAGACATCCTCTTTTGGTTGCCGTGTTCGTTGCCAAGGTCTGTCTTTGGCTGTCCAAACGTGTTCGCCAGTACATTCCTCGCATATTTCTGCCAGGAGACACTCGTTAGCATTGTACACTCAAGACGCGATTTGCGCAGACACTTACCATGGTCTCTGCCGCTCACATTGCCGCCCTCCTAGCGGTGGCTTCGGGCGTTGCTGCTCAGGGAGGATTGGAACAATGCGCAAGCTTGACCACTCTCTTCCCGGCTTGCGCTGTAAGTATTCAGAGGCCCACAACATGTTGGCATTGACTGACCAGACCAGACGGGCTGTATCCTGTCCGCAGCTTCCGCTGTCGGCTGCACCAATGGCCTTGACCTCCGCTGTAAGTGATCAGACAAGCACCTTGTCTTCATGGTGGACATCAGTTGACCCGGACCAGGCCGCTGCGACCCCACAAGCTCTGCTCAGATTCAAGCATCGGCCTTCAACTGTGTCATTGGCAACTGCAACGCGGATCCCACGCAGATCGAGTCAGCCATCAACGCCGGCGCTTCCGTCTGCGGCTGCGTCAATGCCGCCCCTACTGCTGTCCCTTCGGAGCCGCCCATCACCAGCGCCCCGGCTCCCAGCAGCCCTCCCGTCCCCAGTGAGCCCGAGCCAAGCGAGCCCCCGTCGAGTGGCCCACCGCCAAGCGCCCCTTCGAGCGAGGTCGTGTCCGAAGAACCCTCTGTGCCCCCCGTCATCCCCAGCTCCACAGAGCCTGCATCTTCGGGCCCCATCACCCCTGCCCCTAGCTCACCCGGCGGCGGCGACTGCGATGCCACCTCTCCCTGTGAGGATGTCGCCCAGGCCGTTCCCAACTGTGGTCGCTCCTGCATCATCTCCGCGGCCTCTGCCTCACTCGGCTGCGCCGCCGAGGACTACGAGTGCCAGTGTGCCGGCTTCCAGACCATTCAAGCCGGCGCCGCGCCTTGCGTCATCAGCGCATGCGGCATTGCTGGCGCCGTGCCCCTCCTCGGCTCCGTCTCCGCCCTCTGCGGCTGCGTCACCGCCAACCCAAGCACCCCTTGCACTGCCTCGTCCGAACCCAGCATTACCGTTGAGCCGTCGGCTCCCGCGTCATCTGGCGGCGGCGGCGAGCCTCCCGTTGAGCCGTCGTCCGAGGCTCCCGGCCCTGGCGAGAGCAGTGAGGTGCCTGGCCCCAGTGTCATTCCGCCGCCCACAAGCTGTGCGCCCGCCGACGGCCCCCGACTGCGGTCCTGTTGCCACGTCGGCCGTCCCAGCCTGTGCCCAGCCTTGCTTCCTCAATGCCGCTCCCAATGTCGGCTGCGATGCGACCGATTACGCTTGCCAGTGTGAGGCCGAAGCTCAGGCCAGCCTTACACAGCTGCTCGTTCCCTGCGTCGCCACAGCTTGCCCTCCCGCCTCCCTCCAGGCCGTCATCACGGGTGCCTCGTCCGGTAAGACCAAAGCCCTCGTGCAAATGTACAGGAACTGTCCGAGAACTAACCAAACTATTAGTATGTGCTTGTGCTGCGGCCATTCCCACCGGCACGGGCGAGGACGACTGCCCCGGCGGATCCGGCATTCCCCAGCCCTCTGGAAAGCCCACGACCACCAAGGACGACTACCCTGCTCCGGGAGAACCCACTCCTTACCCCCCGCCGCCGCATGCCTCTGAGACCCCATGCCCCGAGCCTGAAGATCCCGGCCATCCCGGATACCCAGCGCCGGAGCCCGAGCACCCTGCTCCGGAGCCTGAACATCCTGCCCCTGAGCCTGAGCATCCTGCCCCTGAGCCCGAGCACCCCGCTCCTGAGCCCGAGCAACCCGCTCCTGAGCCCGAACATCCTGCTCCTGAGCCAGAGCATCCCGCCCCTGAGCCGGAAACTCCCGCTCCCGACCCTGAGAGCCCTGCTCCCGAGCCAGAGGCTCCCGCGCCCGAGCCCGAAACCCCTGCCCCCGTGCCAGAGACACCCGAGGCGCCAGCTCCCGTCCCGACACAAGCCGACAACGGGGACGACGACGAGCCGGTGACCGTCCCCGTCGGTGCGGCCGCGAGGTCAGACCTCAGCATCATGGGCAGCCTCCTGGGTGCCGTTCTCTTCGCGGCCGGCCTGATGTAGTTCGCTCAGTGGAACTGTAGCTTCTGCCGATCGCGTCGCGCATATGCGGGCTTTCAGGAAGGCTCAGTGCTGCACTGTTGGGGGTTTGTTCTGGCTATGGCGGCGGAGTGGAGTGTTAGTTTTCGCTTCTTGCATCCCCTCGGCAGCCTGAAGGCCTGTTTTTGATGGTAATCACGACGTTTTGGTGGGGTTGGGAGTTGGATCCAAAGAGTAAATCTGAATAATGAAATGACCTGTCGCATCAAATGAACGTCCCCAGTTTCCGTCTTCTGCTTCCGAATCTTGATTGTCTGGCCACTTGACGTTGTTCTTGTGCTATGAAAAGCCGATCTGCGTGTAACATGATCTTGCAGAATCATGCACCATTTGAATGAACCAAACACATGCGAAGGGGTTTCACAGCAGCTGCCTGCAGTGCAGGGCGCGGCGCGGCGCCCACCCTCCCTCGCTTGGTGCCGGACGATCGTTGCATTTGCCCTGCACGAACTTGACTTCACAGCAAATCAGCAAACAAAAATTGCAGGGCAGGTCCAATACTCTGGACACTTGCAGCTGTTCTCCAGAGAACAATTGTGATATCCAAAGGCTTCGTTTCTTTCATTCAATTTAATGGTCCAGTCTATACAGGCAGGTCCATCCTTTGCTATGGGCCGTAGAGGCTGTCTATTACATATTCTTCCGCTCACGTGCCACACTGCCAGAGTGCGCACACGTTTACCGGACGGTGTAACCGCCGTCAATGAGGATATCGGCGCCGGTAGTGTAGGTGGAAGCGTCGGACACGAGGTAAACGTAGGCACCCTTGAGCTCCTTGGCGTCGCCGTTGCGGCCCATGGGAATCATGGATAGCCACAGGTCCTGGGTCTCCTGGCCGACAAAGTCGGACAGGCCAGTGTCGATGTAGCCGGGGGAGATGGAGTTGACACGGGCAAAGTCGCGCCACTCGTTGGCCAGGGACTTGGCCAGGTGGATGCAGCCAGCCTTGGCGACGTTGTAGGAGGTCTGCTCCTGGGGGTAGTTGGCGATGTGGCCGGACATCGAGGAGGTGACGACGAAGGAGCCGGTGCCACGCTCACGGAAGTGGGCGCCGACGGCCTTGGCGCAGTAGGCCGTGCCGTTGAGGTCGACCTGGATGACATGGTCCCAGGCCTCCTTGGTGCCGTCAATGACACCAGAGTCGGCGGTGGCGCCAGCGCTGCATTGGTCAGTACGATCTTGATTTTCAATGATGCCGGCTTTGAAAATAACGAAAAAAAAAAAAAAAGGTGAGGGGAGCTCACTTGGCGATGAAGGCATCAATCTTGCCAAAGTCGGAAATGACCTCCTTAACGAAGGACTCGACCGAGGCGTAATCAGCGACGTTGCACTTGTAGGCCTTGGCCTTGATGCCGTACTCCTTCTCGAGCTCGGCGACGTTCTTGTCGGCACCCTCCTTGCGGGAAGAGTAGGTGATGGCGACGTTGGCACCAAACTCGGCACAGCCACGGGCAGCCTCAATGCCCATGCCACGGGGGCCGGAAGCACCAGTGACGACGACGACCTTGCCCTTGAGGGAGAAGAGGTCGGCGAGACGGTTGGCCTTGGGGATCTCGATCATGATGGCGGTGGGGGGCGGTTATCCAGGTAGCAAAGTAGGTAATTGAGGTTGGGTGAAGAGGGGGGTATCAAGAAAAATGGGGAATAGAGCAGGAATGTAGAGAGAGAGGAGGGGAGAAGAGGAGGGCGTCTGGGGTGGGAGGAATCGACTTTTCAATGAGTCGAGGAGTTGAGCCAGATCCGGGTCCCGCTGGCCGAGGGGTCAAGACGAGACAGAAGCAGAAGTAGAAGCAGATGGATGGGGATGGGAAACTTGACCGTCCAATCCATGATGATGATCGGGGTACCGGTGCCCCTCCTGCTCCTGCTCTCCTGGTCGTGCCCCCCCTCTTCTTCTTCTCTTCTGTGGGTATCCTTCTTTCCTTCAACGGTCTACTCCTCCTGCTCCTGCTCCTGCTTTTGCGTACTTGGTGCTTGGTGCTTAGTCCTTGGCTCCTGCCACCCCTCGAGCTCTTTGCTCGGTGGTGGTGCCGGTCTTGCTTCCGCACCTGGGCAGTTGCTGCTGCTGCTGCTGCTGCTGCTGCTGCTGCTGCTGCCCGTCCAAGCCATGTATCCACTGAGACGCTCTACCTCGATGTACCCCCGCCGACGTCATCACCAGATGTTGTTGCCCCACGGGCTCTTACTCGTTGCGGCACAACCGTAGCTTCCCAGGCCTGCTAGCCCACTAACTGCCGCCGCTGGGCGCTGCTGGGCGCTGAGCAGTGCGCCTACATGACGCCAAGGCCCACCAAGAGTTTCGCGCCAGCCCTTCCAGCGCTCCGGGCTCCACTGCCAGGCGTCTCCAGGCTCGGCCGGCACACGGCGGTTTTCCACGCACTTGTGTGCCTGGCTATCCGTTGGCACCCATCGTTCCTTCCTTGTTCGATCGAGAGAATGGCGTTAGGTCGCGACTGTTACCGAAGGTGTACGGTGCAGGCATGGCGGCGGCAGGAACAAACACAACAAGCGGCAATGACCTTGATGGCCACCTTCCTCAGATGCAACTCACAGGTTTAACCTCGCCACATTATCAGACTCACATGTACAGTACACAAACCTGGCTAACTCCATTGAACATTGGCATGATTGACCCGTAGTCCATTCAGCAATCATCGCACCAACCACCCCCGCCTCCATGGGCATACGACTCGGGTTTACCCTCATCGCGAATC